CAGGTAGCTGAGATCTCGCTGAGGATGGCTACTTGCAACGTGCTTTCGCTTAAAGGGAGCTCTGAAGATGACACTTCTATGGCAGGCCTCTCGAGACAGAGAGCACTGTTTTCACAGCTGGCGGAAGAGAAGATTATGATTTTTGGACTCCAAGAAACGAGGCTGAGGAAATTGCACTGTGGGTATGATGAGGATTACTTTCTCTTCAAGGCAGCTGCAACAACTCAAGGGCACTTTGGCATCATTGCCGGCTTGGCCAAGAGGATCCCTTACGGCTCAGTTTGGTGCCCACGCACTCAACGCCGACGACCTGTCTTCTTCAAGAAGGAGCACTTCAAGATTTTGGCCTTTGACCCACGATTTCTCATTTTGAAGATCGACACACCTCATCTTCGAGCAGTGTTGGTTGCAGGGCATGCGCCCCACACTGGTAATGAGATGGACATCATTGAGTCATGGTGGGAGCAACTCCATGCTGCAGTCCCACAAGCCTATGCAAAGCGGCCAATGATCCTTCTATGTGATGCCAACGCAGCAGTCGGAGCTGAGACATCTCCGCACATAGGAGACCATCAAGCCTCTAAGCAGGATGACAAGGCGGTTGCCTTTGAAAGTTTCATTGCGCGCAACGAGCTTTGGATACCTTCAACATTTGCAGAGCATCAGCGTGGCGAAGGTATGACATGGGAGCACACTTCTGGAAAGAAGAAGCGCTTGGACTATGTCTGCATTCCTATGGCTTGGCGCGCTCAATCCTGCACTTCATGGATCAGCACGATCATTGACCCGACATTGGTTCGCAACGACCATGCAGCAGCATGTGCTGAGGTCAAATTCTTAGCAGCTTACCCTTTGAAGTCTGAGGTCAAACAGCCGCATCAAAAATTGGTCATTGATGATTGTGAAGTTGACTGGCAAGGACTGACTACGAGCTTTCCAGCCACCATGGATGTCCACTCACACCTGCATCATCTGCAGGGATGCCTAGTCAAGCACCTGCAGCCACTCCAAAGGCGCCACAGGGCTGCCAGGCCGATGAAGGAGACTATGTCAGCATCAACTTGGGCATTGGTATGTGAGAAGCGCACGTGGAGGAAAACTCTGGCGGAGTACAACAGGATTCAGCGCACCACTATCATGGAGTATGTCTTTGGAAGATGGAAGAGGAGTAGAGCGCAGGTGAACACTGAAGTCAACAACCTGTTGGCAGCGCAGGACAAGCTCATCGCTAAAGCCCTGTGGAACTTCCAGCAATTGGGGAGGAGTGTCACGAGATCTATGCGATCAGATGACAAGAACTTCTTTGCAGGACTTCTACAAGATGGGGCTGAGTTCCTTGCGCCAACCCAAGTCAAAAAGCTCTGGGCAGTGATCAGGCGGTCGATCCCCAAATTCCAAGTTAGACGCAGTGGATATGACCCTCACGCCCTGGGTTTTCTTGATCAATCATGCTTGGATCATTTCCGTCAACTGGAACTCGGCGTTGATGAGACGCCGGATGACCTGGCGACCCAATGCATCGCTCACCAACAGGCTGAACAACCTGGAGCCCCTCAACAAGTTGATCTGCACAGCTTACCTACGAGATTTGAGTTTGAGGCGGCCCTGCGAGACACCTGTATGGATCGTGCGACTGGGTTCGACTGTGTTCCATCCGCCATCTACCACAAGAATGCCGCATTCCTTGCTGATTTTTATTACCAAGTCCTCATCAAGACCTTCTTGTGGGGTATGGAACCGATTCAAAACAAAGGAGGGATCCCGCGGATGATACCCAAAAAACTAGGTGCGCTTGAGCCGCAGAGTTTTAGAGGTATATTGCTCCTACCGACTTTGGCGAAGCGCGTACATGCGCTGGTGAGAGGTCGCTTGATGAGCCAAGTCGCCTTGAAGAGAGATCCAGGGCAAATGGGCGGTTATCCAGGACAACAAGTGGCCTTTGGAGCGCAGACTATCAGAACGCTCACCAAGGTCTTTGCTGCCCGTGGGTGGTCATCGGCGGTCCTCTACGTCGACCTGTCGACAGCCTTTCATCATCTGATCAGGGAACTGGTTACGGGAGCCACTTCTGCCACGGCCTTTCAAGATGTTCTTCGTGCACTTCATCATTCTGGCACACCATTGGATGCGGAATTTCATGGGAAGGCACTGATAGGACTTCTGGCCGAACATGGCATTGACCCTCTTCTTCTGCGACTTTTGCGTGACATCCATGCTCATACCTGGTTTGTCTTAGCCGGCAACAACCAGCAGATGATTTGGACAAAGAGAGGAACTCGCCCGGGCTCACCGTTAGCTGACGCAATCTTTCATGTGCTGATGGCCTCCATTGTCGGGGATCTCCGCACTTGGCTATCACAACAGGAGGACATTGTCAGCCTCATGGCGAGCCTACATCTACAGCCAGTGATGGTGATCTGGTCAGATGACCTGGCAGTTCCAATTGCAACCTTGACAGCCTCTTCTTTGTTGCCCAGACTTGCTGATCTAGCTGCTGAAGTCACGCGACAATTCAAGAGAAGGGGATTTACTGTCAACTTCACCCCTGGCAAGACGAGCGCTGTGGTTTCCTTTGTGGGTAGAGATGCTCCTGCACTTCGAAGGCAACACCTGCTAGGGCCCACTGCAGGAATTGCTATTGCGGTAGATGCTGACCAAACCGCCTGGCTCAGTTTTACCAATACTTACAAACATTTGGGTGCACAGTTCGCGGCTAGCCATTCATGCGAGCCTGAGCTGCGCCAACGAGTCGGCATGTCAAAGGCGACCTTCAGCAAGCTGTCTCGAATGGTGCTGTGCAACCGTCATTTTCCAGTCCAACTTCGGATCCAATTCCTGCAATCACTGGTGTTCTCTAAGCTTTTCTATGGATTAGGCTCCTGGGATACACCTTCTGGACGCCAGATGCAGCGCCTGCGTACTACATACCATGGGATGCTGAGGAAGACTCTACGCCTTGCAGCTGATGAACAAGTCACGACACAGCAGCTCCTGACTCGAGCCAGAGTGGTGGATGTTCGTGCGAGAATAGCAATTGACAGACTGGCTTATGCGAGAAGGGTTTTTCAGGTTGGGCCAGCTGAACTACAGCAGATTCTCCACATCGAGCAGCAATGCTGTCCTTCATCTTGGATCTCAGCACTTCGTGCAGATCTTGACTGGCTTGATGCACTTGTTCCAGGAGTGCTCCCAGCTCGACCGGAGGGAGACCTCACGGATATGATCGATTTCTGGCAACGTGAGGCTGTCCCGTGGAAGGGCTTGCTGAAACGGGGTCTCAAACGACATCGATTGCAGGAAGAGATCATGATGGAGGTCCACATCGCACATCGCAGTTCGCTGTCGATTCTTCGAGCAGGAGGAGCAACTTTTTCCCCTGATGAGCCTCAAGTTTTTGGAGGAGATCGCGCGGAGGTTGCCCACTTATGTCCCCAGAACTTCCATTCCTCCTTATTTAATTTAAGGAGTTTTTTTTTAAAGGAATTCCACCTTAATTAAGGAGGAATTCCCTTAATTAAGGAGGAATTTTTCCTTAATTAAGGAATTCCACCTTAATTAAGGAGGAATTCTCCTTAATTAAGGTGTTTTTTTTTGGAAAATTCCTCCTTAATCTTTTTTTAAGGAGGATTTTTTTCACTGTTTTTAGATACATCTTTGACATCATCATTGCATCAAGACCAACCTTTGGAGGTTGCTTCAAGGAGATGCAAGATCTCCTTTTGGTGTTTTGATTTCCTGCATGTACTGTTTCTGCATCGCATCTGCAGTTGATTTCTCAAGATGAATAGAGCTAAGAACACTGCTTCTGTTCAAGACCTTTGCACATGTTTGAAAGCAGAGGTGGCTTGTTTGGATCCCAAGGAGTACTTGGATGTTGAAATTGATCAAGTTTGCAAGCATTATCGAAAATTTCTGGGCTTGATGTTCCAGAAAACAATTCGACCATCCAAAGACTGCTTGAAGGAAGCTGCCTTGAAAGTCAACCCTCGCACTTTGAGTGACGAAGCGAAGAAGTGGTCTTCTGCAATTGTCGAATGTGTGCAACACATCAGAACAAAAGCAAAATGGTCAATTTCAAGTAAGAAATATGAGCCTTGGATGTGTAAGCTTGTGAAGATCTATCTGGAGTGCTCAGAATTCCATGGGAACCGGCAGAAAGGCAAGTTTGTTCAGAAAGCCATTGCCAAGCGAAGGCTCATGAGACAAAGTTCCAATGCGAGCTCCATCCCACAGTTGCCTGTGAATGAACCACTTGTGCAAAAATTTCCTCCAGGCCACAGCTCAGAAACATTGGATAGCCAAGAGCATCAATTGATAGAAGTGTCGAGTGAAGAGAGCCAAGCGAGTCCTAAGAAGCCTGTGAGTGTTGGAACCTGGATCGATTCTACTGCCATGGTGGTATGTCGCTTTGTGGATAGCAAGGTGGAGAAAGCTACTATGAGTGAAGGACCAAATGGCTTCGCCATTGCTGCTTTTGGTGAAAACAAATTTGAATCTGAAATTCCCAATGAATCTTTGAAGATCTATAGGCAATCTGCAGGTGGGAAAAAGCCTGCTGCAGTCTTGAAAAGGCCTGCTGCAGTCTTGAAAAGGCCTGCTGCAGTCTTGAAAAGGCCTGCTGCAATCTTGAAAAAGCGTGCTGCATGTGAAGCAGTACTTGGCACTTCTGAAGAAGAGGATGTTGAAGCTCGGCCGGCTGTTGCAGTTGCTGATCCTGAACCTGCTGCTGTTGACTTGGCATCTCCTGAATATCGCTTGGAACATTATCCTGCCAAAGGCAGTCGAAAGTATGGTGCTTTAGGTGTCAGACGAAATTTTGGAGACAAGAAACAAAACAAATCTTTCACTTTGAACAAAATTTCAAGAGAAGTTGGCTTGGATTTGGCCCAGAAATGCATTGCTGATTTGCACAATGGTGCTACTGAACAATCTGTGATTGAATTTTTGAATGAGGAAATTCGAAAGTGGAAGGTTGGACAGGATGTGGATTAGATTGGATGAAATTGCAAAAAAATGGCTGCTGATTTCTGTTGCATGTTTCAAGGAGGTGTAAAACCTCCTGAGAGTTCTCAATAGGAAAATAGGAAATAGTCTTTCCACTTTTCTGTCTTAAGGAGGTGCAAGATCTCCTGACATTTGGAACTTGAGAGTTTACTGCCTGGGTGGATTTCAAAAATGGCTTATAGACTTTCATAGGATGTGGCTTTAATGTTTAATGTTGGGTTGGAATTCTGGATTTGAGAAGTTTTGTCTGGAATTTGGAATGTTGAAATTGTTTGGCATGGCAATTGCAGTGTTGAGAATGGATTTTGCAACTGAAGCTGCTTTGGCTTTCTAGCTCCTGTTTCAGTGCTCGATATTTTTCTTGCTGTTGCTATGGGAGCTGGACAATCAAGTTCCTCTCGCAGGAGGCCTGGAGATGAGGAGATTGACCGTGTTTTGGAGCTAATCAGGCTACAAAACCAGGTGATCCAGGCATTGACACCTCATGTCAATGCCCAATCGCAACCTTTACCACCTCCAAATACACCTCCTCCAGCACCTATTCCAGGTGCCCCTCCAAGTTCTCATGACCCTCCAGGTGCTTCTCCAATGCCCCTTCCAATGCCCCCTCCAAGTACCCCAGCGCCTGCCACCTCGCCGTCTACAAGCTACTTGAGAACATTTCCTGGATGAAGGAATGATCTACACAGGCTGGAGTTTTCTGTGACTGTGGATTTGAAAGCATCTCATGTCAACCATGCACTGTGCAATATGTTCATCATCATGCCTCCTGATCAGGTCCTGCTGTAACCCCATATTCTCCTACATCACCTATTGATGCTGGAGAGCAAGCCGAAAAATCAAAAGAGGATGAGGATTCAAATGTAGATTGAGTCAATTGAGCTTCCCTGGAAAAATGATTCGAGATTATGGGCGCAAGCGACTCTTTAAGGAGGTGCCAGATCTCCTTGATAAACTAAATTTAAATTTAAGTAAAACATGATATCTGTGATATGAGCATTTCTGCATGGCTGAAGCTGTCGAGTCATATTGATCAATGTAGTTGTGATGGACCTGTAGAATCATTTTTGAAGCCTTGATGGATGCACATGATCAGCTTTGGAATGATGATGAGAGCTGATGATCTGAACCTGAGGTATCACAATCATTGCACTAGTGTCCAATACTGGAATCAAAAAGGAGGTGCAAGATCTCCTTGGCCGAAGCTGATGCCCATCCATTTCCTTTGTTTGAGTGGCTCTTGGCAACTCTGGATGCAATTCACTCAGGTCATGCATGATGACTGTAAAGGTTTCAAATTGGAAAAATAAGGAGGTTAAAATTGGTTAAAATTAAAATTGCCAATTTTAATTTTAACCAGTTTATGTATTACTTTTAAAGGCAGGATAGGTTAAAATTAAAATTGGCAATTTTAATTTTAACCAATTTTGACCTCCAATAAAAATCACTTTGGATCCAAAATAGAAACCATCGGATTTGGAACTGGAGATTCATAGACATCACAACTTACTTCATCATTACACTGTTCAGTTTTCAGTGAAAGGTTCAATGGAACCTCCAAAGGAACTGCCTCCATGGAGGAAGCAGCCACTGGCCACCATTGAGAAGAACCCTGTGGACCCAATGGACAAGCAGATCTCAGGCCAGGCTTTGGATGACAAGGGGGTCAGTAAGCCTTTGAAGGAGTTTCAGAATGCGTGCAACAGTCTGAATTCCTGCAAGAATGCCTGGGAGAAGGAGCTTGCCAAGGCCCAGGACCTGGCCTGTCGTTTGGAAATCAAAGGTGACCCAAGCTTCCATGCCAAAGGCAAAGGTCTTCAGACTTGGTGTCAAGAGCAGTTGAAAGCCATTGCCAACCTTCGATCCTATGTCGCAGCCAGTGAAGATCTTGCTCCTGAGGACACTTCTCCTGAAAGCCTTTCGAAATCATTGCCTGCTGCCAAAGCATGGCTTGCTTCCAGCCAAGAGAAGCTGCAAGAAGCAAAAGCCAAGGTGAAAACTCACCAGGCATTGCTGTAGGAGCCGTTTGGCCCTTAGATTTTGGAAAGCGCATTTGGTGCAGTTGTCAGTTTTGGAATGTGGAAATGCAGATTAAAATATCGCAGGGATCTGCTTGGAAGATGCGCAGCTGGTAACTGTCGCTGGAAAAAGAGCCTGCTTCTAAGCTGGTGTACAAGACTCAAGGAGGTGTAAGATCTCCTTTACTGTTTCCCTGTTTCAAAGCATTGGCCAAATTTAGCATTAACTAAATACAATGTGTAACTTCTTGTCTTCTGAGATCTTATGAACTTTTATGTTGACATGTTTTCCAGCTCAAGCCATGTTTCACAAGAGAAAGGTAGATTTGTCTACCCTTAGGGAACCTGACCAGAAGAGGTTTCGACACAATGTGTCCAATTTGTTTTTGACCAAGACTGTCTCTGCTAGAAGAGCCAATGAGCTCATGAAAGATGCACAAATAGCTGGAGCCGCTGGTGTGAAAGATTTGGTCAAAGGTGCAGAGAAATCTGGCAGTGGTGAGAAGCAAGCCAATTGGGAAAAGAATTTGGCAAGGGATATGAAAAGAAAAATGTTGAAGAACTGCCTGTGGTTCAATGAATACATTGCATTGATCCCTTGCTACAATCCTGAAACACAAGCAGAAGAGATGAAGAAGATACCTTTTCTTTTGCCACATGAGATTCATTTTGTCTTCTCGAAGCGCTCTGAGAAGAAAGACTTGCTGCAGACTGGTGGCATGTGTGAACTCAGCAAAAAACATTTGGCGAACATGCAAATGCAGTTCCAAGTTCGAGAAGCCATAGGACTTGGCCTTTGGATCGATGGCACACCTTACAATTATGACAGAAGTCAAACTTTGGAATGCATCTCATTGAATTTTCCTGGCTTACTTCCACCTACTGGTACTTTGCGAATCCCTTTGTGCTGTATTCCAAAGCACTGGTGCATCAAGGGAGTAACTTTGTCGAAGATGTTAGGAATTTTGTCTTGGTCTTTTATTCACTTAGCCAATTGCACTTGGCCTTCAGCAAGGCATGATGGCAGCTTTTGGCACCCAGGCGACAAAAAACGAAGCACATTCAATGGCAAGGCATTGCCTTTCACTGCTTGTTTACTTGAAGTGAGAGGTGATTGGGCTATGAGAAAAGAAGTTTTCCAATTTCCTGGATGGCGAGACAAACAAGGATGCTGCCATTTGTGCTTGTGCAAACCAATTGAAATTCGAAACTTTGAAAGCTGCAAGGCATTTGATCCTTTGGACCATTTCACTTTGTTGCAATCCATTTCCAATTCATTCTGGCATTGACATCAATGAATTGTTTCAAACACCAGGACTGACAAGCAAACAATTTCTTTTGGACTGGCTTCACATTGTGGACTTGGGCGTGGCAGCAGATTTTATGGGCAATGTTTTTCACCATTTAATTGCCTCTGGAAATCACTTGCCTGGCAACAATGTCAAAGAAAGGGTGAAAAGCTTGTTCCACAGAATTCAAAGCTACTACAAGACTGAAGGTGTGGAAAACAGGCTTCCTACTTTGACAGTCCTCATGATCAGAAAGAAAGCCTTCGAGCCAAAGCTGCAGAAGCTCGAGGGTTGATTACTCTTGCAAAACAAATCTGCGATGAATTTTTGGCTGATGACAATGTGTTTGAATATACAATCAAGATGGCTGCCACAGAACTGTGGCAATGTTATTCTTTCTTGTCCAAGAATCTATGGAATCACCAGTCAATGCTGCTGCCTGGCAGAAAGTTTTTGCTGTTGTGCAAGAGCTTGGAAAACGAGACTGACCATACTTGGAAGATCAAACCAAAGCACCACAGCTTCTTAGATTTATTGCTCCAGAACTCTTGTCCATCAGACAGTTGGACATATCGAGACGAAGACTTTGGTGGCTTCCCAGCTCACTTAGGAGCTGTGAAAGGTGGAAGCCACAACCCTTATTCCATAGGCATGAGTGTTCTGCAAAGTTTTCGAGCACAAGTGATTCCAGAGCTGAAGTGAAAAGTTTTGCTGCCAGGATCTGGGATAAGGAGGTTTCAAGTCTCCTGCTGAAGGAGGTGCAAGATCTCCTTGCAATTGAAAATTTAAGGAGGAATTTTAAGGAGGAATTTTTCAAAAATTCCACCTTAATTTAAGGAGGAATTTTAAGGAGGAATTCCTTAAATAAGGAGGAATTCCTTAAATAAGGAGGAATGGAAGTTCTGGGTCACTGTGGCCGGGCATTTACCTCGCCACAGGGACTTGCACTTCATCGTCGAGTTCGACACGGTGAACATGCGCCGGAGTTCCAGTATGTCGATGGTGCGACATGTCCGGCCTGTCTGAAATATCTATGGACGAGCAACCGACTTGCTATGCATCTGGCGTACGCCCCTCGACATGGAGGCGTGAACGCCTGTTTTGCCAAATTGTCCAAGGCCGGTTTTGTGGGCACGCATCACTCACAAGTTGCACCGGTTGGCTTTGGTGCGGCCATTCGAATGGACAGCATCCAAGTTGAGGGGCCATTGCCATCTTTTCGAGCTCAATATGATATTGCCTTGGAGAAGGTTTTGAAGGAGCTCTCCGAAGTCGAAGAGGAGCTCCACACCTACAACAGACCAGCTGACGAGATTGCTCTGGGCATGAAGATTGGAGACACCTTGACCCAGGGTACGCAAGCATGGATCCATAGGTTCTGCGAAAACCAACAGGCACAAAACCCCGATCTTATTGACTGGTGGTTGAATGTGCTTCATACAGTTGGCGAAGAATATGCTGACTGGGCCGCCATGGTTTTTCAGGAGTGGGGTGCTCATCTCCTCCCCGAGCTCGTGGCGGACGCGATGGATGGTGAGGTAGAGTATGTCTTGGACGATCTCTATGCGGAGGCGGTCAATTTGCTTCCACGTGAAGCTTTGCTGTCACGCCTGCGCCTACTCCACCAGCTTCGACAACGATACGAAGAGGAGGCGGCAGCCCCGGCAGTGCCACACAGAGCGGTGAAGAGAGGAACAGCCAATGTGAAGGAAAGAAGTAGCACACGACAGCAGGTGCCGTCAGCCTTCTTCAGCCAACCCCAGTGGCATGCGCGCTTCAGGGAGATTCAATGGAGAGATCTTCCCCGAGAAGCTCAAATCCCTTATTTGGTGCAATCGAATGGCAGACCCTGTTTTATCATCGCTCACCTCTTCTCTGGTAGAAGGCGCCAGGAGGATTTCCATTGGTGGCTTCAGCACTATGCCATTGAGTATGACATCGACCTCTGCATCTTGTCGCTCGATACGGCGATATCGCCCAGCGCAGGCGACCTCCACCGCTCTGCCGCCTCGTGGCACCAACTGGAGCGATGTTATCGCGCTGGCATTATAGCCGGATCGCTTCTTGGCACCCCTTGTGAGACGTTCTCAGAGGCCAGATATACGCCAGCACCACCTGATTGCCAGCGAAGATGGCCGAGACCGCTTCGCTCTGCCGAGCACCTTTTTGGACTCCCAGGGCTCAGCGTACGTGAACTCTTGCAGACGCAATTGGGCACGGGCTTTGCACTACAGGGATTGGAAGTCCTTTGTCACCATGTGGTACGAGGTGGATTGGTGGTATCCGAACACCCAGCAGCACCGGCGGATTTGGAGCGGCCTACAGTGTGGCGGGCTGGGCTCACCGAATTGCTACTTCGACACCCTGATGTCAGGTTGCAAACTATCTGCCAGTATGAATGGGGAGCCTCATCGGTGAAGCCAACTGGACTCTTAGGCCTACGTGTCCCAGGCCTGATTGGAGCACTTCGAACGGCTGTGATCCCCCACGTGAAGAAGCCACAGCAGGCAGCGATTGGCTGCAATGAGGAGGGGACCTTTCGCACCGCGATGGAATACCCCCCGATGCTATGCAAGGGTCTCGCGTGGGCCTTCGTGAAGCACCTTCGAGCGGCGCTGCGTGGTGGGCGGACGCGCGCAGTGAGTAGGGGCAATGAGGCCATTGGGCCTACTATGGAGGAAGGTGAAATGTATAGTTGGGTTGCCGAAGTTGCTGAAGTGGGAAAGACCATACGGTCGGACGCCAGCATCTTGCCGGACCACCAACCTAGGACTTTTCACGCATGACTTCACCCCTCCATTTTTGAGCCACAGCCTCCGGGCTGAAATTTCACTTTTCCCAATTAGGAATGTGCATATGCTGCAAGGTAGAACTACCTTTGGAGCCAGCAAATGAGCAAAAAAAAATGGCGAATGTAAACATAAATCAGTAATCGCAGCGCATTTACACAGAAATGTTGAGATGTTGACAAAAATAATGTTTCACATGTTTTCACTATCAAGTATCCAGTGATGATATAGTTGACACTTCCTGCAGATGTGATGGTTGGTTCACGGTGAAATATCTATGGGAAAAATGGTGTAACGACCAGCCACCAGCTTGTGGATATCGAATAACAAATGCAAACCAAAAACAATGAGGCTATCATGAGAACGTAACCCCATCATCCATCAAACACTGAGGATTCAGGCTACAAACTGAGAGGTAAATCATATATGATGGTTTGATGCTAAGTACTTGGAATATACTAGTTGATTTGAAAGGAATTGTATTATATCTGATTTTTGGGGTTCGCTGGTCAGTGAGTCTCATTTAGAGCTTAGTTTGCTACGTCCATGGGTATCCTGTATCCTCATAACTGGTTGCCCATTATACCCTCCGCTACTCAAACATAACTTGCTGGAAAATCCATGTTTCATGAGATTGGTTTGCGGGAGAATTGAAACCGGAAAACCCCTATACTTAATGATAAAAACCATGATTTCCGGTGAAGATTTTCCCCAACAAAACCAAAATCCGATGAATGTTTGATTGCCGAAGGTCCCCGCTACGACTAGTTAGACGCCAGGAACGACGCCTGCAACGCGACAAGGCCAAGGCTCTGGAGGCCGGGAACATTCATCGGATTGGTTGGATGTTGGGAGCATCTTAACTGGAAACCATGGTTTTTACCATTAAGTATAAAAATCCTTAGGAAACCATTGGAAACCACGGTTGTTACCATAAAGATCCATTAAGTATAGGGCTTTCCGGTTTCAATTCTCCCGTCCAATAAATGAAGGTTTCTTAAGTCATGGATCCCAAGTCACCAAGTCACCATGGCTGATCAATATTCAAGGCGTAGGGGGACCACGGATTCGGTGAGAATGTTCAGTGTTCACCATCCAGGACTTTAGGAGACCAGAAATGATAAAACCCCTACTGGTTGGTGGTTTGGAACATGTTCTTTCCCATATATTGTGAATAATCATCCTTCCCAAGGATACATGGTAAAGGTTGTCAAGGTTCCCAAGGTTGCATTGTAAAGGTTCCCTCAAGGTTCCCAAGTTTTCCAAGTAACGGTTGTCAAGGTTCCCAAGGTTATTATGTAAAGGTTTCCAAGTAAACGTTGTCCAGGTTCCCAAGGTGACATTGTAAAGGTTTCTATAAGATTCCCAAGGTTACATTGTAAAGTTTCCCTCAAGGTTCTCAAGGTTTGATTGTAAAGGTTCCCTCAAGGTTTTCAAGGTTCCCAAGTAAACGTTCTCAAAGTTCCCAAGGTTGCATTGTAATAATATTTTTTCAGAGGCATTGAAACCACCAACCAGTTTCAGTGTCTTATTTCAGAGAAAACCCAACATATGGATAAGTAACGGACAGAATTATCGGAAGACCAAAGTGACCAAAGTAGTAAAAAGTGGACTTCGGATAGTCGAAACTGTGTTGGAACCCGCGGAACCGTCACAACCGATAGGGGACCGCCATATGGGAATATTGTTGATAAATGATGCTTGGTTGATGATCAGTTTCAAATTCTCAATGGTATTTATCCATGCGAAAAGAAAAAACAAACATGCAATAGTAGGACTGGTTGGCTCAGATTCTCTGACTGGTTGGTTTCACAATCATTTCATAGGGGTTTGATCATCAACAATAGGGAAGGATGTTATGGGAATAGTGTGAAGATCATATGGGTCGAGCTTGGATCAGTGTACTTTAATACTTGAATATGTCGCCATAAATTGGGATATTTATGGATATTTACAATATCAGACATTCACGAACCAGGTAAGGGTGTCACAGATTGTCCATGATATCGGGATAACACTTGATAAATTTGATAAAACATACAATATAGATATATGAGGTCGTAGTTTCTTACTGATGAACCAGGGATTTAAGCATCCAAAATGGGGTTTCAACTCACTATTCACGGAAATGTCTTTGTCCCAAAAAGGTGTTTTAGTTTACTCTTAGGTAATCAAACATGGCAATGGATAATTCCCCTATTATAGATGTGTTTCACCTTTAAACGAGCATTTATGTGGATGTCTTATTGCCATGTTTGGTTACTGGACGGTACTCCAACTTATTATGTAAGTTTCAATACAAGAAAATTATTATAAACTTACATAATTAGAATTGTATTGAATAGATTTTTGGATTACTTAATTACTATAGAAGATCCAACCAACCTTCTACTATTAAATCATTGTATTTTTGGATCTATCGAATTCTTAGACAAACCCATATGTAGGTTTAACGAACAAAAACCAGGGGTTAACAACCCATGTGCATGTACTCATGGCACCAACAAGTCTGGTTGGCGGTTTCAAACAGTCATTGATATCCCAACAAATGGGACTATGATCCTCGTCGACTACTTTCACAGGGTTGAAACAATCAATAAGCTGAAACATGCTGAAACTATGTGGTTGATATCTGGGTAAACCCATTGGTTAAGGATAATCTATACAGAGGTATGAAAATACGCATGTTTATATTTTATCTGTTCCAGATATAAATGGCTTCTATGCATAAATATGCTATGACTGATTGAAGATCCAACCAATGTTTGTCGGTTATCTAAGTTGACTCATTAGCCAGGAGCAGGCGGACCCAATCCCAAACGTTGGTTTTTCTCTGGCCGAAACTATGGATACCCTTCCTACTTAATGAGTCAGCTACCTGGTTGGCTGGTCGGCGCTTGTAATGGACTAAGCAATAAGGAGCAATGATGGGTGTATTGTATATATATATATATACAATGGGAAACAATGGGGGGGTGGATGATGCCCTCAAGAAACACAAGAACATAGGCTCAACAAGTGAGCCGGTTGTAAATGTTGATAAGAGTGATGACGAACCCCCACCATTGGTTGAGCGCGTGAGTGCGGTTCCTTATGACGCAGACAGTGGGCCTGACGATGACCACAGCACGAATGATGATTACACTACACAGTCCTGCCCCCTGAGGTATTCGTTTTGTTTGTGCCAAACACAAATTGATGAAATTTGTGCCACGTGTGAACCGCCCCCGGCAAACGTTGCGAGCGTTTTGGTGGAAATCATGGATTCGATTATGGCCCTGATTTCAGTGAAACAGCAACATCCCCATGACACGGTGATCTCCTTTTTTGGCTCCTTGGCCCTCTTGGGAAAAGCAGGGGAAAACCATGGAAACCCCCGTGATTATCTATTGGTGAATCATCATGTTGCAACAATTCATATGTTGGGTAAACTTCAGTTTCAGGCACATCCAAATCCCATGTTATTGGTGAAAATATCCCATTAAATCATATTAAATCCCACAAACATATCCTTTCTGAGTCTCACAGCCAGCCATAGGGCGCAATTCAGTTCCCCTTCTCGCTCAGGCGCCCTTGGGCAAGGTGATGTCCTGGGGCCCCGTGGGTGATCTCAGAATCCGGCCATGGGGGGGGGCCATGGGGGCCCTGAGGTGGACATTGACCAGAAACAGGAGGATTTTTTACTTTCCAACCAAAATTCTACATGTGCAGTTTTTAATCTGTGGGGTTGGATAACAAAAATGGTATGTCATGGGATATTTTGGATTGGGATTTAAAATGATTATGTTAAAAATCATTGCAGTAGGATATTGATCCCCTACTTAGCCATGGGAAAAAAAAAACCTCCTGATTCCATTGGATAAACCATCGTTTTGAAATGATTGAAGTTTTAATATTCGGGGTACCTACTTCGCCATGGGAGAAGATTTTTTTCATAATGAGATGTCATGGGATATTTCACCAAGAATAGATGGGATTTAGATGTGTGTCTGAGAATGCGGTCTACGACCCAACAAATGGCTATGATGAATAGGGAAGATGATGATGAAGTGTGGGATTTCTGGGTACCCTGTTGTACAGGCAAACTCATAAGTCACGACAATGGGTTGATGGCATCAATGTGGTGGATACCCTTCGGTACCCTTCGGTCATGGCATTAGTCGAGGATGATCCCAGCACGTATGATGGATCCTCAGCGCTGCTTACATCTTGAATGTACAGTTGCATCCCATGTGTTGTTGTGTGTGCATGTGCTTTTTGTTTTTTATCTATGCACCTTTGTTACCTATGTTTGTTGGTTGCATTCATGTGTTCAGTCTTGTTGACTACATCCCAGGTGCATTGTTGGCTCTGGGCACCTGATTTTGTTGTTCAGATTAGTATGTGTGGTTGTTTTTGTCTGTCAAACCCTGACTTTTTCCTGGTTGAAATTGAAATCACAATTCTTGTTGGTAGTACAGTCCTCCCATGTTAATATAGACTTCATTTGTTGTGGTGAAACTGTGGATGGAAGGAATCCTGCACTAGTGGGTCACTATCGGTAACTCTGAAAGCCTGTAAATCACGGGATTATAATGGGATGCTTACCATCTACCAACTGGTGCAGGATTTTTCCATCCACCGAATCTCTCAATTAGCATGAATCAAATCACCTTTTTTTTCTTCATTTTTTCTGGCGAATCCAACATGTTTTCCACATGTTTCCTGCTGAATGTCCCAGTTTCTGTGTCATCCTGCCATGATCTGCCTTTTTCAAGGCCTCTGAGATCCCTCGAGTGAAGCGATGACGTTGGTTTGTCAGTAGCTGCACAGCTACTACTTGGATCTACTTGGTTTGTAAGTCCGGTTATAACATGTTATAACATGTTACTGGTTGGTGGTGTGGAACATTTGGATTATGTTCCATATATAGGGAATTTCATCATCCCAACTGACTTTCATATTTTTCAGAGGGGTTGAAACCACCAACCAGGTTATAACCTAGTTTCCAATGTAAGCCCAACAATAAACCTACCATTTGGGAATGGGTCATACAAACCATTTGTCATTTATGAGATTTCGGGGATGGTTCATTCTTGGGTTTACCACATTGGAATCGAGGACTTACGATCACCAGGCTATCATAGACCACTTACTGAGAGGGATGCATCAGATGCTCCTCCAAATAGACCTCCAATTAATATCCAGCCATAGAAATGATTATTTCACCTCCTTCGTAATTGGCGACATTTCTTTGATATTTGGCTGAACTCCATATTATTATCATACTATGTATCCATGATTATGCCCATAATTGGCTAGTCGGTGTCATTTTCAAAGATATTGGGATGATGATCTCTTGTGAATTGTGTACCCATCCTGCCCAATTCAGTGCAGATTTGGATGATTTGGATGATGATGATGTTCAGTATATAGGAGTAGCATCTAACCCCAAGGTGCCGCAATCCGATGTCTTTAACCTTTTGCTGATACTGATGCAGCTGCTGAAGGGACAAAGTCTCAACAAGCGCGCTGGCGCAGCGCGCGTGCTGACGAAGTCTCTTTTGAGGATCATTACAGACCCGAAAGGTTGTGACATTGAATTACTGTAAGAGTTATAGGAAATTCATGCCTCACTCAAACTCTTAGTGTTTACTGATGCTTTGACTCCAGACAGTCCAGAACCCGTGTACATATTGCAGATCTGAAATGGATTTTGGGGATATGAACCATAAGAACAATGATATGATACTGTATGTTTATTGTACTTGGATAATGAACATCTTTCCCTCTGGCAAACTGTCCCATAGCTATGGAAAGATCCACCATTTTTCATGGGAAAATTAACTATATTTCTATGGCCATTTTCAATAGCTATTTTGACATAACCAGAGGGTAAAAGGTACCTCTAGCATTGCACTTGCCATCAGAAGTTACACAGCTGGAGATTGCGTCTGCGGCTGGGAGAAAAGGGGCTGGAGTGCTGCGGAGAGTGCCAGAAATCTCGAAGTCCCTTGACCATCACTGGTTGGTTTGGAACATTTTTTATTTTCCATCATATACGGGATGTCATCCTTCCCATTGACTTTCATATTTTTCAGAGGGGTAGGTATACCACCAACCAGATCAGATTGTTCGCAAAGACATCGGGAAAAAACTACTGCAACCATACTGAGAACAATGCGTATACCACAGTATCGTTTAGAATGTGGGTAAAACATGGTAAAACAATGTCATAAACCACCCATGACTGGGAATGGTAACCATACCACCTATAAAAATGGTGATGACTGGGGGGATGGTTTTTGGCATTGTTTTACCCACATTACACTTGTATATCAGAGTCTGGGATTGCTACGGAGCCTCTGGAAAGGTTGATAACTTGAATTTGATGGTTCATTTTGCACTTTGATTGTCGTCCGGATATTGAACATAAAAATGGTGGATAAGGGACAATTTATAGATGTCTTATGGTTTTTTTACCTTTAAACATGGTGATTTCCCAGTGTTAAATAACAAGAAGGTAATTACTGCAGAATGGACGGAAACTGACACAGATGATACTGTGAAGTTATTTATGTTCCCAAATGTTGAAACCCCTTCAATAAACCATCGCAAGTGTAGCCATCACGTCAGGAGAACTGCAACAAGGTAACGACGGTGAGGTAACGACGGCCAACGACGTTCGGTCAAACTGACACCAGCCACAGATACAAACACAATGACCGGACGGGAGCAACAGCAAAGAGGGTCGTCACACAAAATGCTTGAACAGGGAATCAAGTCCCAGTAAATCTTCAGATAAAGACACATTTCACTTGGACCCTCAAACAGCCAGAAGCATCCAGAAGCTACAACGAGGTGTTTTTCATGATGGTACTGGTAGGGTTCCTTGCTGAGAACTGTGAAAACAATGATGATTATATACAATGATCGTTATTCTTGTCTGGTTTGTGTAGTCTGCTTTGATGCTTAGGGTTTCCGGCAGATGTCATCCTCGTCATGATAACCAAATAACCAGATAACCGTTGCGATAACCCCGAAAGCACTCGAGCGTTGGAAAACGTGTAGATACGCGTAGCATTGTCACACGATGCCGCCCCAGGAAACGTTTGCTGTATACTGAGCGGCTGGTGGTTTCCAACGTTTCTTTTTGCCTTTCCCAATTTCAACGCTGTTTGGTATGATGATCCGAGGTGACAAATGTCTTTCCAGGGGTTGAAACCACCAAGTATCATCACGGAAGACACGGATACGTCTTGCAATGGCTCTACTCTGCCATAACCGGCTGAACTAACTTGCTTGACTTGCGAGCGGACCAACCAGCATCACAAGCGCAACTGCAAACGGCGAGACAACGACGGCGATGCGAGGGACGGCGATGTAAAAATGTTCGGTCAGACTGACACCAGCCACAGATACAAACTCACCAAGAATATTTGAACAATGCAACAGGAGCAGCAACAAGTTTGTCACCCAAAATATTTAGACAGAGAATCAAGTAACTCTTCAGATAAGAACCGCGTCACTTGGACCCGAGAAAAAACAAGAAGATGAAAAGCATCCAGAAGCTACAACGAGGTGTTTTTCATGATGGTACTGGTAGGGTTCCTTGCTGAGAACTGTGAAAACCGTGATTATATACAATGATCGTTATTCTTGTCTGGTTTGTGTAGTCTGCTTTGATGCTTAGGGTTTCCGGCAGATGTCATCCTCGTCATGATAACCTTTCAGATAACCAGATAACCGTTGCGATAACCTCGAAAGCACTCGAGCGTTGGAAAACGTGTAGATACGCGTAGCATTGTCACACGATGCCGCCCCAGGAAACGTTTGCTGTATACTGAGCGGCTGGTGGTTTCCAACGTTTCTTATTGCGTTTCCCAATTTCAACGCTGTTTGGTATGATGATCCGAGGTGACAAATGTCTTTCCAGGGGTTGAAACCACCAAGTATCATCACGGAAGACACGGATACGTCTTGCAATGGCTCTACTCTGCCATAACCGGCTGAACTAACTTGCTTGACTTGCGAGCGGACCAACCAGCATCACAAGCGCAACTGCAAACGGCGAGACAACGACGGCGATGCGAGGACGGCGATGTAAAAATGTTCGGTCAGACTGACACCAGCCACAGATACAAACTCACCAAGAATATTTGAACAATGCAACAGGAGCAGCAACAAGTTTGTCACCCAAAATATTTAGACAGAGAATCAAGTAACTCTTCAGATAAGAACCGCGTCACTTGGACCCGAGAAAAAACAAGAAGATGAAAAGCATCCAGAAGCTACAACGAGGTGTTTTTCATGATGGTACTGGTAGGGTTCCTTGCTGAGAATTGTGAAAACCATGATTATATACAATGATCGTTATTCTTGTCTGGTTTGTGTAGCCTGGTTTGATGCTTTGGGTTTCCGGCAGATGTCATCCTCGTCATGATAACCTTTCAGATAACCAGATAACCGTTGCGATAACCTCGAAAGCACTCGAGCGTTGGAAAACGTGTAGATACGCGTAGCATTGTCACACGATGCCGCCCGAGGAAACGTTTACTGTATACTGAGCGGCTGGTGGTTTCCAACGTTTCTTATTGCGTTTCCCAATTTCAACGCTGTTTGGTATGATGATCCGAGGTGACAAATGTCTTTCCAGGGGTTGAAACCACCAAGTATCATCACGGAAGACACGGATACGTCTTGCAATGGCTCTACTCTGCCATAACCGGCTGAACTAACTTGCTTGACTTGCGAGCGGACCAACCAGCATCACAAGCGCAACTGCAAACGGCGAGACAACGACGGCGATGCGAGGACGGCGATGTGAAAATGTTCGGTCAGACTGACACCAGCCACAGATACAAACTCACCAAGAATATTTGAACAATGGACCCTGAGCAGCAACAGGGATTGTAAGTACATGTAAGTACACATAACTCAATCATTTCACTATTTTGGAAACGCACATCCATCTTAATATGCCAGAAGATGCAAAAACGGACAAATCAGAAGGAACACATGAAAAAAAATGAAGACGGAATGGGAAAGGCAGGAAAGAGACATGAGATGGTGAAAGGTAATTGCGTATGAAAGACGTGCGTGTGAGAGAGTTGCTCGTATGTCTGTATGTATATGTATTTAGGTGCCACGCCTGCCACGCAGATTGCACGTCGATGTCACCAAGTGCCACCCCTGCCACGCAAAGTGAAGGTTTGTGTGTGAGAGAGTTGTGTGTGAAGGAGTTGTGTGTATGTGAGTTGTGTGTGACTAAGTTGTGTGTGTGAGTTGTGTGTGAGTTGTGTGTGAGTAAGTTGTGTGTGTGTGTACGACAGTGTACGAGTTGTGTGTGAGTACGTTGTGTGTGTATGAGTTTTGTGTAAGTTGTATGTGTATGAGTTGTGTGTGTGAGTAAGTTGTGTGTGAGCAAGTTGTGTGTGAGTAAGTTGTGGGTGTGTGTGTATGCCTTGTGTGTGGGTAAGTTGTGTGTATGAGTTGTGTATGTGTGTGTGTGTGACGTGTGTGTGTGTGTGTGGTGTGAGTTGTGTGTGAGAGAGTTGCGCGGGAATAGGGGAGGCGCGGCCGGGAGTACGCAACCAAAAACAAGAACTCCACACAAAGATGTGGGGAACAATCGTTGGTTTGGTGGAGTAAGCCCAGAACACATCATAGCAAAAAAACGTACATGGAAACCATATGACCGGATAGTCAACAAAAACAAGTAACGAACCCAAACAGTTTTTTGAAAAAAATGTTTCAACTGTCTTGTACGTTTTCCCCTGACCGGAGTAGATTGTGGAGTGCGGAACGGGGTTGAGTGCAGAGTGTGGAGTGTGAAGACAGTGAGGTGTTGAGTGGGGAATGTAGTGTGCAGGGTATGAAGTGGGGATTGTGATGTGTAAAGTGTAAAATGTAAAATGTGGAGTATAAAGTTTTAAAGTGTGGAGTGTCAGGTGTAAAGTGTGAAAATTATAGCGCACTGTAATGCGCAGAGTGTCGTTGAGTGTAAAGTGAGGAGTGACAAGTGCAAAGTGTAAAATGTAGAGTGTCCCAATATTGCCCTTGCCACACATGGCACTCCACACAAGACGGATCTGCACCAAATTCTGCGCCTGCCACGCAAAAGGGCACTCTCAAGATATCCCACGCGTGCCAGACAATCTGCACGTTGTCATCACTCGACGCAACCTTGAAAATGCGATTCACATAAAACACGCAACAACACACGCCTGGAGTGCTGCACATGCCACGCCGAATCAAGATGGACAAGTCCAAAGTATCGTGCCTGCCACACTAAACAACTGAACTGTCGCCACGTTCTGAAACCTATCGGCTTGTCACGAAGTGTCACGGCCACTCGAAAACGACAAGTACAACTTCGTTTGAAACGTTCAAAAATGAAGAATTTGGCCGTTTTTCCCGTAGGCTCGGCGATGCCACAAAAAACAATGGAATCAAGACGGGACATGTTGGAAATCCAAAACGAGCATTTCATGCGAAACCTCCTCAAGGTTTCATGTTTTATAGCGCTTTATAGCTACAAAATCATCGAGGATGGAATTCCCACTGCAAAATTATTTGGCTTCGGCCTTCTGCAAAATAGTATGTTCAATAGTTTCTCCTGTCACTTCAAGGCCATGTTCAAGCACATTTGTGGTAACCGTATGTGACAAACATATCCGATTCGGACAGGATTAGGCCGGTGCGGCGAGCCCATTTAAGGCACAGGCCGGCGAAACACGATTGCATTATTTTACATTAATTCGGCGCTTTTGTAGTGGCTATGGTAGCCCAACATATTGCATAATATCTTGCATGTATTCAATCCAAAATTGTATTTTTTCCCCATCATCCTCCCAATGTTCCACTGACGTGTATCGATAAAATCCACAACGAGTTTTGAACCCCAAAAGTTCGGAGGTCTTCCACGTCGAACGCGGCCGGACGGATTCCCCTTCGATAAAATTTGCCGCATCTACGAGTAGAAGGTTTGCAACATAACTTGCAAAACCCAATGCTGGCGCCGCACACACACACATCGCAGTCCAGGTACATATTTGGACTTCGCGAACAAAATCCGCAACACGTTCATGCCATGCGTGTACGATATAGTGCCACGGAGCATCCCAACTTATACCTAGCGGTGGTCCAACAACACTTAAGGTTTTGCAGCCGATAGGGGGTCTTTGGAAATGGATTCTAGGGACCTTGGTGATTTAGTTTTTCCTCTGATTGTGTGATCAAAGGAAGTTGGGAAGCAATACTTCCGAGTTACGAATGACTTTTACTATGATGAAGGGTGGTGCGCGATCTATACTTGATGGAATTGACTATGATGAAGGGTGGTGCGCGATCTATACTGGATGGAATTGACTATGATGAAGGGTGGTGCGTGATCTAACGATCTAACAATACATAACAAAAGAATAAAAAGCGATGAACTTGACTATGATGAAGGGTGGTGCGTGATCTAACAATACATCATAAAAGAATAAGAATCAATGGAATTGACTATGATGAATGATGAAGGGTGGTGCGTGATGATGAAGGGTGGTAGGTCACAGAACAATACATTATCTAACAATACACAACAAAAGAATAAGAAGCTATGACACAGGGTGGTGACGAAGGGAAGTGGTGAGGAAGGGAAGTGGTGAGGAAGGGAAGTGGTGAAGAAGGGAAGTGATGATGAAGGGGAGTGGTGAGGAAGGGAAGTGGTGAGGAAGGGAAGTGGTGAGGAAGGGGAGTGGTGACGAAGGGAAGTGGTGACGGAGGAAAGTGGTGACGAAGGGAAGTGATGATGAAGGGGAATGGTGCGGAAGGGAGGTGGGGAAAATGGGAAGTGGTGAGGAAGGGAAGTGGTGAGGAAGGGAAGTGGACGAAGGGAGGTGATGACGAAGGGAAGTGGTGACGAAGGGAAGTGGTGACGAAGGGAAGTGGTGAGGAAGGGAAGTGGACGAAGGGAGGTGATGACGAAGGGAAGTGGTGACGAAGGGAAGTGGTGACGATGGGAAGTGGTGACGAAGGGAAGTGGTGACGAAGGGAAGTGGTGACGATGGGAAGTGGTGACGATGGGAAGTGGTGACGAAGGGAAGTGGTGAGGAGGGGAAGCAATGACGATGGGAAGTGGTGAGGAAGGGAAGTGGTGAAGAAGGGAAGTGATGATGAAGGGGAGTGGTGAGGAAGGGAAGTGGTGAGGAAGGGAGGCGGTGATGAGTCGGGGGGGAAGCCGGAGCACGAAACCTTGCGTTTTTCCGTGTAAAGTGGCTGCAGCCGGCGATGAAAGGTACCTCGTCTGTGCGGCGGTTGCGGCTGGGGTCGTTCCGGACGCGATTGGTTCCTTCTATGTGTTTTGCAACAAGTGGTGCACCACTGTACGGGATAATCCAGCAGGTGCAGCGAAACTCTTGCGTTTTTTTTTTCCTGTACAGTTGCTGGCAGGCGGCGGGCGATGAAAGGTACCTCGTCTGTGCGGCACTAAACCTTTCGTTTTTCCGTGTCAAGTGGCTGCAGCCGGCGATGAAAGGTACCTCGTCTGTGCGGCGGTTGCGGCTGGGGTCGTTCCAGACGCGATTGGTTCCTTCTATGTGTTTTGCAACAAGTGGTTGTTCCTGTGTGCGTAGTTCTATGCGTTTCCTGAAGCTGTGGTTGCAGAGCGCAATGTAATGGCTGCATGAATGTTGCATGAGCTATGTTTTGAGGAGGAAGCCGGAGCACTAAACCTTGTGTTTTTCCGTGTCAAGTGGCTGCAACCGCCGCACAGACGAGGTACCTTTCATCGCCGGCTGCAGCCACTTGACACGGAAAAACACAAGGTTTAGTGCTCCGGCTTCCTCCTCAAAACATAGCTCATGCAACATTCATGCAGCCATTACATTGCGCTCTGCAACCACAGCTTCAGGAAACGCATAGAACTACGCACACAGGAACAACCACTTGTTGCAAAACACATAGAAGGAACCAATCGCGTCTGGAACGACCCCAGCCGCAACCGCCGCACAGACGAGGTACCTTTCATCGCCGGCTGCAGCCACTTGACACGGAAAAACGAAAGGTTTAGTGCTCCGGCTTCCTCCCCAAAACATAGCTCATGCAACATTCATGCAGCCATTACATTGCGATCTGCAACCACAGCTTCAGGAAACGCATAGAACTACACCGCAGGAACAACCACTTGTTGCAAAACACATAGAAGGAACCAATCGCGCCCGGAACGACCCCAGCCGCAACCGCCGCACAGACGAGGTACCTTTCATCGCCGGCTGCAGCCACTTTACACGGAAAAACACAAGGTTTCGTGCTCCGGCTTCCCCCCCGACTCATCACCGCCTCCCTTCCTCACCACTTCCCTTCCTCACCACTCCCCTTCATCATCACTTCCCTTCTTCACCACTTCCCTTCCTCACCACTTCCCATCGTCATTGCTTCCCCTCCTCACCACTTCCCTTCGTCACCACTTGCCATCGTCACCACTTCCCATCGTCACCACTTCCCTTCGTCACCACTTCCCTTCGTCACCACTTCCCATCGTCACCACTTCCCTTCGTCACCACTTCCCTTCGTCATCACCTCCCTTCGTCCACTTCCCTTCCTCACCACTTCCCTTCGTCACCACTTCCCTTCGTCACCACTTCCCTTCGTCATCACCTCCCTTCGTCCACTTCCCTTCCTCACCACTTCCCTTCCTCACCACTTCCCATTTTCCCCACCTCCCTTCCGCACCATTCCCCTTCATCATCACTTCCCTTCGTCACCACTTTCCTCCGTCACCACTTCACTCGTCACCACTTCCCTTCGTCACCACTTCCCCTTCGTCACAACTTCCCTTCCTCACCACTTCCCTTCGTCACCACTTCCCTTCGTCACCGCTTCCCTTCCTCACCACTTCCCTTCCTCACCACTTCCCTTCCTCACCACTCCCCTTCATCATCACTTCCCTTCTTCACCACTTCCCTTCCTCACCACTTCCCTTCCTCACCACTTCCCTTCGTCACCACCCTGTGTCATAGCTTCTTATTCTTTTGTTGTGTATTGTTAGATAATGTATTGTTCTGTGATCTACCACCCTTCATCATTCATCATAGTCAATTCCATTGGTTCTTATTCTTCTATGATGTATTGTTAGATCACGCACCACCCTTCATCATAGTCAATTTCATCGCTTCTTATTCTTTTGTTATGTATTGTTAGATCGTTAGATCACGCACCACCCTTCATCATAGTCAATTCCATCCAGTATAGATCGCGCACCACCCTTCATCATAGTCAATTCCATCAAGTATAGATCGCGCACCACCCTTCATCGTAGTAAAAGTCATTCGTAACTCGGAAGTATTGCTTCCCAACTTCCTTTGATAATGGTATGGAGATAGCCACTGGCTATTTAACACTTTGCGCACTGGAAAACCAGTATTTTTTTAAACGTATGTTTTGGATCAAAAAGGTGCAGTAAATCATCCATAAATGGATCATTTTCCATAGCTATGTTGACCGGAAGGTAGAATTCACATTGAACTATGATGCAGTGCCGACGATATCACCAACAACCAGCAGTGGAAAGAACTCACTGAAAGTGAGTTGTGAATTGAGTTTGATGAATTGACTAAGCCATTTCAGTCAAAGTAGCCTTGATTGAGGATTTTACCCTCTGGTAATTTAACAGTTTGCTATTGAAAATGGCCATAGAAATAGTTGATTTACCCATTAAAAATGGCGATTTTCCATAGCTATGTTTGTTTACCAGAGGCTATGGTTTCTTGAGTTTGACATTGGCGGTTTGACTATCGCCTCAAACTGTACACGTCCCAGTCTTTAGACATGACATCGACTGAAACTGAGAAGCGACTGGTTCAGAAATAGGTTTGAGTGGTGATTGTGGCGGTACAATTGTGGATACCCTCATACCCTCTAGTAGTTTATATAAGGATATATATATATATATGTATATAATATAGCTATGGAAAATGGTGCATATTTAGTTCGATGTTTGAGTTGGAGGGTATGTTAAATTACTTTGGAGATCTTTGGAGGGTATATTCCATCTCAATGACCGCATATGTTTGTGATGACTTTGAGTTCAGGATTTCAAGGATGGGCTGAGAGCCCGATTCTGGAGCTTTGCTACCCTTCTTTTGACCCAGTTCAATACCAAAATCGAAAAGGAATGTTGGTCCAATGTGTTTAGGCTACTCTCTGGTAAGCAGAAAATGTCAAGGGCAAATCCTTCAATTTGAAGACAATTTCCTTATAGGTTTCTATTCTCCAATACATCAAGTTGGATGTGTGTTGCTATTCCCCACCATAAAAACTGGGTATCCAACTGATCCTTCAGCATTTCCGCAGCATTTCCGAATCGCCTGAGGTAACGAAGGTATTAAAGTCCCGGACTTTCAGGATGATGGTGGAAATCTGAGTGTCTCTTGGACGTGGCGCCAGGGCATTTTTTATGTGGAACTCCGAAGATCGAGATGCAGATGCGAAAAAAATTTAAGTGAAACAAGCAGCAACATATCTGTTTCCGAAAATTGGGAGCAACATGTGATTCAAACATTCCCTAAGGATCCATGTATGGAATATTTACCTACATTGGGATTATTTTAAATTACTTTAGGGGTCAATGTAGGTAAATGTTCCATACATGGATCCTCTGGGATTGGTGAAAAAACTCGTTCATGCGATAGTTTCCACTCTTTGGATTATTTACCCTCTGGTAAACGTTTACATAACTATGAAAAATCACCATTTTATAACTGGGTAAGTTGCCACTATTTCGACTGGACCATTTTCAAGTTCGCAAACTGTTAGTCATGACCAGAATTTCGACTGGGCCATTTTCAAGTTCGCAAACTGTAACAAATTACCAGAGGGTAAAATCCTCAATGTTGGATTATTTAAATGAAACATATTGAAAGACCAATGCTTTGATTCAATCGTTTCCGCGGGGTTTTTTGGTTGGCTTCCCTCGGCCCCATGGAGGGATGGTCATAGTGGATATCATCTAAGCTCCTTTCTCCTTCCCCCAATAGCTATGACTCATACAATGTGAGGCCCCCGTTCGATAGCTAAGTTGGTGAACATAACTCCAATAACTTATGGTACTTATAACGAACTAGTTACTGGGGTGAATCTAAACCAACTGAGAACTGGGGGGCCTCACATTGTACCCATGGCGAAACCCCAGCAATCTGATCATTGTAGGGGGTCCTATCGGTGTTATTTAAAAAGTGTAATTGCTTTTGGTTGTATTCCCCAAGAGATATCGTTTCTTTTTATTCTAGTGACTTTGTAACCCATATAGTCATTTGGGCTCTAGGTTTCACAACCAAAAAGTAAACGTGAAACAAAAACTATCCAGACCAGCCCCTCAATGATCATGCGAGATATCCCCTAAGGTGGAAATCTATCGAATAATCAAAATCCAGTGGAACAACCACCACATAGTTTTCTGCATTTTTGTCGAATGTCTTCTCAACTAACAACAACCCAGTTCTTAGATCTGTCTAGATTTGTTCTGATTTATACTTAGAACTCACATTCAGAAGCCACTTTAGTTTCCCATCACATTTCCAGTGATACCCATACATCTTTTTCACAAGACATACCCTCTGGTTATTTAACATAGCCATGCAAAATCACCATGCTATTAATGGGTAAGTTGCCACTATTTCTATGGCCATTTTCAATGGCAAACTGTTAAATAACCAGAGGGTATATTCAATGGTAATTCCAGGATCCTAAAATGGAGGTACTGTACCATATAAGGTCATATTTTGTGTGCATATTCCCTTACATAGGCCTTACATAGGCCTTGCATAGGCCTTTTTTCTATGGTAGGTACCTCCAATAAATCGGTTCCTGAGTCATGGCCATTGATACATCAACCTCAGAGCTCCGGCATGGGCAGTGCAGCAAGGTGGAGTTCTTCGTGGTGCAAGCACCGTTGTTTTCCACCAATCCCCGCATCGGCACCAAGCTTCGCTGGCTCAACTTGTACCACACTGCGCTGGTGCTGCAGCAGCAGCTGCCAGGTCGGGATCCGGATCAGGGTTGAGGGGTTCAATGGAGGAAGGCTTGGGAACATGAGTTCAACATATTTAAACCACTTGGTGGTTTGGAACATTTGGATTATTTTCCCAGATAGTTGGGATGATGATCCAATCTGACTTTCATATTTTTCAGGGGGGTTGAAACCACCAACCAGTAAACTATGTTAAATGGGTCAAAACTTGATGACAAACAGTGCTTTGACACTGTCATAAACAGTGATAAGGGGTTGAATGGTCAAATAAAGTTCGTTAAACTTGCGACAAATGTGAAAAAAGCCAAACACTTGGCAGCTTGAAAGGTAGGCTTGATGCTCAATATGTGTAAAGACTCAAGATGATCAATGCAAGAGGTGAAAGTTTGGGATGAAAACCCGACCCCTTTTGAACGCAGAGGGCTCAGGGGTGGAACCAGCAAGTCTCTTCCAGAGATGGTTGGCAAGATCAGACCAGAGTCGAAGATCCTAGACGTAGTACACGTGACAGCCAGCGACCACCACTCTGGATCGGTTAATAGGATTTAATATAGGTATATGAATGTTTCTTTTTAATGGGAAAAAAACAAGGGATAAAAGAGATATATACATATATATATAGAGAACTAATGGGATATTCTATATATATATATAAAAATAATAATTCCTATATAGAATGGGATATTCTAGTGAACAGATATTCCAAAAATTCTTCCTAGTTCCACAAAAAAAAAGTACCTAGATATAAAAATCCAATAGTTCCTAGATATATTATATATATATATAATTAATATATACTATAGACATCGCAAGCATCGGATCTTTGGATCGGTCGCAACAGGCTCTGAGCCGCAGAATTGGACCATCGAATTCGATTCCGTATCTCGGTGCGACATTGGATTCCGCAGGCACGACATCCCAATTTCCAGAGGTTTTTAACGTAGACAATAGGTGGTTGAATTTTCACATTATACAGTTATGGCCATTTACCACTTATAACTGGTTTTAAATGGGATTATACATTCTATAAATGGGGTTATAAGTACTTATAACTGATAATATCTGTATAATATGTATATATAATTATATATATATATATATTGATTATATGATATATGCTATATACAGAATACATAATACATATAATTATGTGGTTACTATAATATTCAATGATATTTAGTGGCAATAGATCCTGCGGGCTGTTCAACCTTGCCCCCTGTTCCACAGCACAGGGAACCTCAGGTGACAAACGTTCTGGGCGCCGTTTTACCTTCCATCAATGGAACGACCTTGAGTTGGAACAACGAAGCTCGGCCCATGGCTAGACACGTCGCGACGTCACCAAGGAATTGGAATGGAATTGGATTGGGGGAACTATGCGAACATGGACGCTTATATTTCAGGTGAGTGAACGATATATACATACATTTCATTATATTTCATTGTGTATCATGTACGTATATATACACATGTATATCATTATATATCCAGACCAATAATGAGGAATGGATAAAGAACGGTGATGAGTAGAGTCAGTCTTTGATGTTGCGATGAGCTGGGTAGTTGGTAACTGGCGAATAGCCCAATACACATCAATCCCAATTAGAAGGTATTTCAACCCACTTACATCCCACTTGTTGCATTGTAGCAACATTTGAGTTGGGATGTGACAGAAAAAAGGGAGAAGGGTGATATCACCAATCCGAATGGCATATTTACATAGTGACTATAGTGATTAGGTGGCTGATATTGGTTGATATGGGGATGGTGAAGACGGTCAGTGAGTCTTTTTCCAATGTCGAACCTAACATTAATTTCCTATTGGGCATTGCTATGGGCTCCATGTTGAATCTTTGGGGATGTGAGATGTGTGACTTTGAATTCACTGGGTATATGCACATCGAATGGCTGACATTTTGATGGTTTCAATCTGACTTGCTTGGTTTTTTAGTCTACTTATTCACGATTTATACGATTTGTAGATCATTTTCATTGGGACACGCCATGGCTTTTCCATATTATTCCATATTTTAAATCATTGGAGGGGTAAGTTCAGATGTTTGGATGCTAGTCCGTTTCTTATGCTACGCAACTCGTCGTCGCCCGCTTTCGTCGTCTCAGGATGCGCGCTATTGCGTCACGAAGGGTGTCCTCTGGGGTGAGGTCCATTGCGGTGATGGGAATCATGGCCACCTTGTCATTCCAATCATCCCATGTTTGGTATTTTTTTACCAGCCATTTATGGTTTATGATTGTTTTAAGCACATTATACTCATGAGTGTCTATTCTTTTGGACACTATCCATTAAAGTCAAAGCCAAAAAGAGCAGCAGAACTCGCCGGTGTACCGAACTTCACCCAACTTGGCCTTGGCGTTGCAGAAACTGATTGCAGGCCCATTGGAGCAAGATGTTTCTCGGCCAGTTGGGTTGGGTTTTTTCTGGTTTTTTCCATCCAAAACTGGGATTTGACCCAGGACTTAAGATATGGGCTCGACCCACGGGAAAACACGTGGCTGTCCAAAGGAAAATGATATGTAAATCTGTAAATGGTGAGTTTTTCCATATCTATGTCAATTGTGTAAGAGTACATAGTGCAAGCAACAACCATTGGGACTTTTGCATCCCAAATGTGATGTAACCAAGCTGTGACCAGATGTAAAGTTTCATTTGGGCAACTAAGATAAGGCACATGTTGCCTTGCCTGAAAATCGAGCAACCCAAACCCATCCCTAAGCCCCGTATTTCAGAAGTTTCCCAGACCTGTTCAGAAATATTGAGGTGAACATCTCACCATTGGACAATTTTGAAGCAATAAAACATTATCTTAAAACATCATAAAACCAGCATCTTTTATTCATATGGTGGATGTTTCAACCGGTAATTTAACAGTTTGCTATGGAAGATGAACCATTTAGTTGGTTGATTTACCTATTAAACATGGTAATTTTCCAGTTCGCTATGTTAGTTTACCAGCGGGTAACTGAGCCAACTGAGCTCTGATGGCTTGATTTTCCACTACAAAAACCCCTCTATTCTGGGGTAGCACCATTTATGGAAACCCCGATATGGTGGATATTTCCATCATTTTCCACCCCATCACCCTTTGGTAAACCAACATAACTATGGAACAATCCACCATTTTTCATGGGTAAATCAACTATTTCAAGGGCCATGTTCAATAGCTATGTTTGTTTACCAGAGGGTATGGTTTATTGTTGTTTTAAGCACATTATACTAATGAGTGTCTATTTTTTTGGACACTCTCCAATCGTCAAAGCCTTAGAGCAGCAGAATTTGCATGGATTTTCTCATGAATTCGCCATATAACCATGGAAAATCACCATTTTTCATGGGTAAATCAACTATAAACGGCCATTTTTTAATAGCTTTTTGTATGTTTACCAGAGGGTAAGTGCCATTAAATCCCATTAAATCCCATTAAACCACCATTTTCCTATGGTTTAGGGTTTTTTTATCGACGTCGGATCCCGGACGTCGTCGTCTTCCGTAGGTTCGACTTGGTCTTCCGGCTCAAGGCCTCGCAAGCACGGCAGATCTTCACGGACTTCATCCCATCGGTGCCACGGGAAAAACCCGGCCTGGTAATGACTGTGACATAGGGAGAGTTAATCACCGGCCTGTTTTAATGGGATTTTATGGTGATTTTATGGTGATTTAATGGGATCTAATGGTGATTTTAATAGTGATTTAATGGGATTTAATGGGATCTAATGGATTTTGAATGGTGATTAATGGTGATTAATGGTGATTAATGGTTATTTAATGGTGATTAATGGTGATTAATGGTGATTAATGGTGATGAATGATAGTTAATGGGATTCACCCTCTGGTAATTTGCTAACAAAAAGCTATTGAACATGGCCATAAAAGTAGTGAGTTTTCCTATTAAAAATGGTGGATTGTTCCATAGTTATGTAACAGTTTTCCATTATTATATATAACCACTTGGGGGAGGCTGGGTGGTATAGCCACTTACAACTGGGATACGAATGAATATATAACTGGTTGGTGGTTTGGAACATGGCTTTTATTTTTCCATAATATATTGGGAATAATCATCCCAACTGACGAAACTCATATTTTTCAGAGGGGTTGGAACCACCAACCAGATAAGGATTCCAATGATTGGGGTAACCATTCAACTATTTTAGTATAACACATATATAATTATTAAGGATTCAATGATTGGGGTAACCATTCAACAAGTATATTGGGGTAGCCCATTTTGACTCATAGCCAAATGTGAGCTGCAAAAAACATGTGGGATTCTGGAAAGTTAAACATGATATACAATAAGCTGATAGGTGAAGCAAACCAAAAATCGCTGCAAAAAATCGGGATTTAACCAGCAGCAATGTGGATTTATATGTGATTTATGATAATTACATAGGTTTCTATTTGTTGAACCAACTAGGCTTAATATGTTTTATGCTAGGTGTGACAACAATTTATGTTTTCATAGGGACGATGGAGACCCATGCAAACGCTCCCTCCATTCACCACTGGACAGTTAAAAGCTATCGAGTCCATTGAGGATTGTGGTAATGGATCAGCTATTGAATGTCTTGGAATGGTCTTCGGAGTTGTGGTAGGTATTTTAGAAATGTCATTGATATTGTGTTCAGATAATAATTTTGTAACTTGGGCCGATCCAAACAGTGACCAAAACTTTGGTCAACATCACAATTTCCAATCTTTGGTGTCATACAAAGGATCTATTAGGATGTTGTTCATACTGATGGGGTTATGCAACCCAACGCTAGCCAGTTTTTTTTAGTGGGAGGTAATGCGGAGAATTCACTGGCGGACTTGATCCCCACAGATGATGCTCAGTGTGGCAAGAACATCCCCACTGTGTATTTTGAGGACTTGAATCAGTACCGAGAATCAGCATATCATCGTGATCGGGAAACCAGATTGACCAACCAGTAGAAATTATCCACATTGGTCAGCCCTTTTCTAGAAGTACCCCCTTGTATCTAACATAGCTTTTGAAAGTGTGGCCATTCACAGTTGATTTACCCTCTGGTAAACTAACATAGCTATTGAAAATTGCTATTTATAGTTGATTTACTCATAAAACATGGTGATTTCCATAGTTATGTAACAGTTTACCAGAGGGTACCTATTTTAGACATGGTGTTTTTTCATGTTTTTTCCACATCACCAGAGGCAAAAAAGCTTCCTGCTTGCCTTTTTCAAGGTGAACGAAACGGAGCATTTGAGCAAACCGCTCTACCAGCTCTGGCGGGTGGAGCATGACGCCAAAACCTTGGTCAAGGCAGCATGGTGGGATGAGCTACCCTCTGGTAAATTAACAGTTTGACCCTGAAAATCACCAATTGTTAGAGGAAACTAATCTTCCAACCCCCGCAACTACCAGGGTTTATGTTAATTTACTGGAGGGTACAACTAGATGAGCAGCGATGCCCTGGCAGGGTTGATGACTCAGCAGTTTTTTTTGGATAGAAAAGTGAAAACAATCCAATACCCATGACGGATCCGGCTGGTGCTGGTAGAAAAAATGCTAGCATAAATGGGGTATATTATATTGATGGGATCCATGGCACAGCATATATAGCAGCACCGTTAGGATCCGTCATGGGATATATTATCTGGTTGGATCTGGTTGGTGGTTTGGAACATGAATGGATTATGTCCCCCAAGAGTTGGCATGATGTTTTTTTAATCTGACGAAGTCCATCATTTTTCGGGGGGTAGGTCAACCACCAAATAGATTATTATTAACCACCATTAACCATATAATAACCATTAATATTAACCATTATATTATTAACCATTAATAGATTATATATTGGGGATTAGTTCACAATCCAAGAACGGGGAATCCCGTTCTTAACCAGGATTTATTTCACACTGGTCAGATCACAATTCATAAAAACCTTCAGAAAGGCCAGACACAATATGCATATGATCCAATACGAAACCAGGCTTTCTGGTTGTAGGCATTTAAGCAGGGGAAAGGGAGGAGTGTGTAGTATGCTGCTGGTCCCTGTGGTCCGGGGGGGGGAATTTTCCCCAAAAACCCATAACATCCCCTTGATTATCATCATGTTGTTCCATGAACATGGCACAACATGGGGATATACTCCATTTTCAGACACAGCCTATGATGATCAACGCATCTATCGATCGTACCATTGCACTCTTTCGATCGCTGGCAATGGAACTTGATGGAACTTTCCGTGTACTGTGTGATTTTCCGTGGCATTCTCCCACCAGGGAATTGTGGTGGATGATAGTGTAGGAGAATCTGTGAACGCTATCCCCGAAGGGAGGACCAGACTGTCTGGTGTGGGTTTCTCAGCCGCGCAGGACATTACCTGCGGTGATGGCGTAAGCCACTGAGCTCAACGGCTCGGGAAACCTTTCGAGGGTGTTCCAAGGTAAACCTGGTCAACCGACTGGATGGGTAGTCAACTCACTAAGCTTTTGCCATCTCTTGCCATTTTGCGAGGATGTGTTAAAGTTAACCAGATAAAAGAATTATAAAAGATATAATTATGGTCTTGTCCACAAATGATGGATAACTTGATGATCAACCATAAGATTTCTGAAAAAACCCTATTTCAGACTAATCCATGCCTACAAGATGAATAATAAAGGAATCATAAGCCGTCCCCTGTACCATAAATATATTCATAAATGATATAAATGGTTGCCATAAACCATCCCCAAGTAGAGTTTTATTGTTGGGTTTTTCACGTTTGATTGATATCCATGCAAATGCATCTTTGAATATCTGGTTGGTGGTTTGGAACATTTTCTATTTTTCCATATATTGGGAAGTTCATAATCCCAGCTGACTTTCATATTTTTCAGAGGGGTAGGTATACCACCAACCAGTAGAGGATGTCTGAAAATCATTTTGTAGGATTTTCCATGAAATAAACCATCCAGCTATTGGGATATCCCCATGGCCATGGAAACCCCCATATCTTTCTGTTGGTTTACACTGGGTTTTTCGAAGCTCCAAATCATGTGAGACCACATTGTTGGGTAAACCTTGCGGTAAACCGGGTGCCGCTGATTTGTCCCTGGCATACGTGGCGCCACGAAAAAAGGGAACTTTTTCACGAGATCCTCGGTTCAATGATGCAAGTTCAAGAGCCATGACCACGACTATTATTTGTTTGGTTGATCCGCCTAGTTCTTCAAATTCTCGATCAATAAGGGTATATTTTTGGATTCCGGGTCAACTTTAAAAACTTCGTTTTTGGCACAGCACCCACCAAATTTGACAGAATAGCCAGAACGAAATTGGTAGACTCGGAAGATGATATGAACAGTGGCTGCGAAATACCTATTGGTTTTCATGATTGGGGGTTATACAGCTGTACTATCCAACATAGTGCGGAGATGTGCAGAGCATCTTTCGAACACTGCTCATTTGATTCCACCTTGCAAAAGTCGCCCCAGTGCTTCACTGGCTGAACAGCTGTGATTGTTCGGCTTTTGGATATAGACAATCCAAAGATGTACGTATTTCTAAATATAAGCAGATAAACCTAGATCTTATCTGGACGTGTGTTCCAAACATACCAAATACTTATTCCCTGTCATCCAAATATTTTCTGAAATGTTTGGGGTAGCTAAGTACCTTCCAGATCCTTCCAGTGTATCCGTAGGGATGTAAGTTGTTTGAAAGGTTCCAATATAGATTTGGGTTTGTGTGAAAATAGGGTACCCCCAAAATCCATGGTTGATTACCACATTCCCTCGTTTTTAATGCCATGAGTGGGGGTATACCATGGTATGTTCAGTCAACCTCATTTGTAGTGCCACCTGTGCCATCACTCCGCGTGAGACAGCGGAAAATCGCCTGCGTATCGTGTCATGTGCCATGAATCCATGGTTTGTTTTCATAAAGTGGTCATCCTCCCCGCCTTCCCCATGAAAATAGGGATTTATACACCCATTGCTCTGGGTAAATTATAACGACCTCACTGCGACCTCACTGGAAACATGGTTAATAAGGGAAATCATCCCCAAATGGCCTTAATTCAGGTTAGTGAAATATTATAATTTACCCAGATTGTTTCAGGATTCCCATAGGATACATGACCCCAAACGATATTTAAAAAAAACATCTAACTTGACCATGGCGCATTCCCATGATGAAAATCCACCATCTAAATCCCCATGAAATCCCACTAAAGCACCATAAAATCCCATTGAATCCCGGGAAATCACCATAAAATAACATAAAATCCCACTATGATCACCATTAATATAAACCACCATAAATTAATTTCCATGTCTTGTGATCGCTGCCGAGACTGGATCATGGACTATGCCTCCAGGGTGCTTCAGACGGCGCCAGCCTTCGAGTTGAAACCCGTCTTTTTCGTGATGTTTTTTGTGCTGGGAAATGGCTGGGAAACATGAAGAAAAATGGTGGTTGAATGAGGCAAAATGGTAGGTTAATGAGGAAAAATGCTGGTTCAATCAGGAAACATGGTGATGTTCTATGAGTTGTTTGGAAAATATGCAGATTTAACCAACAGAGTTGGTGGTTTTACGGTTAAAAACCATCCCAAAGTGCAGTGGATTTATCACAGACTCATGGGATTTCCTTCATTGATAGCGGGAATTATATGCCATATGGCATATGGATAGATACTGAAACTGGTTGGTGGTTTCAAACACTTATTTATTTTCCATTTCATATATGGGAGAATCCTGACAAAATTGACGAACTCCATGATTTTTCAGAGGGGTAGGTTGAAACCACCAACCAGTGTAACATAGCACCCCCTAATGAAATCTAATTAGTCTATAGGATGCATTCATTGGTACATAGATGTGGATGAACGATTTAAATTTCATGAGCATTGGCAAATATTAATCACATCTGCTGATTTTGAGAAATTCACCGCGTGTTTTTGTTTTCGACCTTTGTGCCCTAAACGATTCCAAGGAAATTTACCTCCATTGTCGTCAAGGCGGACAGGTGCCGCTTCGCGGGAACCAAGGGAAGTGGGATGAAATTGTATGAAATTGTGGACGGTCGCAGCATTGTATGAAATTGTGGTGACATGACGAGATGGTAAGGCCGCCTAATGTGTTTGGTAAATGTCGATGAATGCCGTGTAGTGTTTGTAGGTGGACTGCACAGTGAAGTCGCCGGGGTTGGTGTCACTTGCCGGTGACAGTCCCAGTTGTCATTGAAAACACCATGCAGGGGTCATAGATTTTGGTCACTTCAGAACACCCCAGTCCTGTCTAGGCTATGCATGGCTATGCAAAGTTAAGTCATATATAAATCATATATATATATATTTATGTATGTATATATATATATTTATATGATGTATATATGCATACATATATATATATATATATGTATATACATATATAATCATATATGTATATACATATATAATAATATATAATATGGGGTTTCTTAAAATGGAGGATCCAAAAAACCGTGGGTTTTCATACCAAAATGCTTTAATGACTTGGATGAAAAAAGGGGGGTACCTTGATGGAAGTTTCTCCACGGTCAGGATCGCCAACGTGCACGTGAACGGTCCGGATTGGCCGGTGGTGGTGAAGTATTTTCAAGGCCTCAGCTGTGGTTTTTATTTTCCATTTCATATATGGGATAGTCCTTCCCATTGACGGATATTATATTTTTCAAGATGGTTTTTCAACCACCAAGCAGTAATGATTACAATGACGATTACCCTCTGGCAAACTAACATGGCTATTGAAAATGGCCATTTATTTCGTGGATATTCCCATGAAAAAATGTGATTTTCCATAGTTATGTTAAATTACCAGAGGGTAACAGCAAGTTGGGAGAGGGCCATTTTGGTTGAGAATCCGACTAAGATCTTAAGATCTGGTTGGTGGTGACTGGAACCAGGGAATTTAGGACTTTCCATATATTGGGAATAATCCTTCCCATTGACTAATATTTTTCAAGATGGTTGAAACCACCAACCAGAAGATATATGTTGGACACAGATGTGACTTTGGAAGATTACGAATGATTGGATTTGTATTTGATTGAATGTGTCTTCAGTTGTTTATTTTTGCGAAAAGAAACCCAAGTGCAAAAGATGTCTATGTGGGGGTTGAAACGATCTCATGTTTCTCCATATCAGATCTTACATGACTAAAATCACAGTATCCATAGTGGTTTAAAGGATTCACTTCACTTCGCCTCTTTAAACCCGTGACATATGAGGTCGGTAGAGACGGGAAAGTAACCATTCACACAGATAGATAGTTGTATGGTAGTGGTCAGCTTTTTTGCTGTATGTATACGGTTCCGCCAAAAGCTTGAAAGCAGATTGTGGTGATGTATTTTTCTATTGCTTGGGGGACCCCGATTTCATATCGTGAAATCATTCTCGCCACATGCAAAAATAGAGATCAAATGTGTACCCTCTGGTAATTTAACATAACTATGGAAAATCACCATTTTTCATGGGAAAATCCACGAAATAAATGGCCATTTTCAATAGCTATGTTAGTTTACCAGAGGGTACATGAAAAATATGCCAGGCATGTCCAACGTGACGGAGGGGAAGCAGCCTCTGCTGCATCGATTGCTGGAATTTCTGCATTTGATGCCGGTGCATTACATCTATGACAGCAACGCCCAGGTCACTAGGACACCTGTGGGCTGCGCATGTTTGGGACCTCACATATCTTTTTGGAAACGACCGTAATGGTTAGCAACGGGGACATCATCCCAAAAATAGCCTTATAAAAATATATATATAATTATAATATATATATACAGTATATATATATATATGCTATATGTATGATATGATATATATATATATATACATATGATATATTATGATATGATTTAGGATTTACTAATGTTTACTATGAATTTGCCAGATCTTGTGAGTATAAATCAAACCTGGGGGCCATCCCATTTTTGAGCCCCATCACTGGAAGATACACCCCCCAACTGGGCAAAACTGTTGAGGTTCAAGCCAACAGTGCAATTAATGTCCTGCCGAAGACTCTGGATCATTAGTGTATATTTCTGCCATGTTGATGGTTTGCCATCAAATCTTTGAACTACATAAAATCAATTAATTAATCCATCATGTATTTCCATGTGTAATGTGTATGTAGTTCCTTTTTTGTTCTCCACATTTTCGGCCAGAACAAATCCGCCATCCTCCAAGATCCTTTCGCCATTCAGATTCAGCGATTCTGCGCCCGCTTGAGGCATACTTCAAGGTGGAAGGCAATCATTTTCCGTGGCTGGAAACTCGAACTCCTATGCCCTGGATCGGCCGTAGTAAGCTAGGCTTGCTATGGCGGATGAACATGATGACCCCGGGGGGCCAACCGTTAGGGCGGGGCGTTGTTTTTTTTTGTTTTAACATCCATGAACAAAAAAGGGGTATCATGATTAATATCTAATATATGTTAAGTACACAACACACCCCTTCTCAATATTATATATATATATATCATTATAAATATCTACCAGAAACCCAAAGGTTATTGGAGTTATGTTCTGCAGCAATTCCCCCTTATGTTTCCAACTTTTGGTTGATGATTGCCACCGGATTTCCCCGAGAATAGTGAGGTAGTCGTTTTTTCGAATCACGAAAGGTTGAATATTTGGTATAGATCATACAGAATATTTTTGTATACTGAATATATCATGTTTTTTTTGGTATTGCTGAGATTCGTAGAAGCATTTGGAAGCCTTTTTATGGTTGTGAAACACTCTTTTTGTCGGTAGACACACCACCAAGTCCCGCAATTTTCGGGGGACCAGCTGAGGAAGCCAAGTACCATGCTGTACCCCTGGAGGGGCCACCCAGGCTGGAAAGCTGGGGCACCTCAAACTTGAAGCTACAGTGCTTGGATCTGAGTGTTTGGTTTTCAGTTTAAGAAGGGTTTCTTTGTTGGCACCCCAGAAAAGATAGAACAGGCTGAATTGTGTCATCTAGATTTTTTTGTTTGAACGATGTTACATAGATTTACATAGTCAGGCCCTCAACAAGAGGGAAATATATAATTTTTCCACAACGGTATATTTTTTTTCCTGGAGGGTGCTATACTAGGAAGTGAAACAAGCTTGGCATTAGACTATCTTGGTGAAACGAGGGATGCTTGAAACCCCCACTAAACTCAGAGAGAAGGATTGATCACCAATGAGCTTGGCATTGGATTATCTAGCAAAATGCAATTTGGTAAATCGGGCTAGCTGTCCAGATTTAGCAGAACTCCTGCTTTTTGAATTCAGATACGACATAGACAATGGATCTTGTTTTTGCTGATACCTGGATACCCAACATTGCTGCATTTACAAAATTAATATAATCTCCTTCATTTCATTGTCTTAGGATATAATTATTATATTTGGAAATCCATTGGTCTTATCCTATAAATTCCTATGATTCTTATATATATTTATTTGTCCCAATAATTTAATTATACTAAAAATTCAATTCAAAATTGAATAAATCCCAATATTGATCTGTAAAGACAATATTTTCTCGTACCTCGTTCTCAGGCAGATTCAACAAAAAGAAACGATCCATATCATATGATGACCACTTGGGCTCATATGAAGAAACAATATATATCAAATCTATAATATATATATAAATATACATTTATATAATATCTATATAATTATTTATATATATATAATTTCCAAATAAATACATATAATATAATGTTGCAATATTCATTTGAATTTGCAAATAAAAAAAATAATTAATAAAATATATTAAATAATATTAATTATTGTTTATATTAATTTTATATAATATTATTATTATAAATATATAATATTAATTAATATTGTATTTAATATATTTAATATAGTTAATATATTTAATAGATTTAATATATTTAATATATTTTATATAATTTATATATTTAATATATTAAATATTTAAAATATTTTAATATATTTTAATATATATATATATATAATATATTTTATATATATTAATATATTAATATAATTTATATATATATATAATTTAATATATTTTAATATAATTTATATATATAATATAATTATTATATATTATTTTTTATACAAATTTTGGAATTTATATTACGTTTTTTTAAAAATATATTGATTTTATTTTGTACTTGCTAGATGAGGATTATTAGATTTTATTAGAGTTATTTTTTTCCTTTTCTTCTTCGGCTAGTTGTCTTTCTCCTCCTCTTCATCTTCTTCCTCTCCCTCTAGTTTTTCCTCGACCATATTTGCATTAACTTGCTATTTGCCTAGCTCAGTGTGTACCGCTGGACCTTAAGCTCAGTGTACACCGCTGGACCTTAACCTCAGACCTTCCTAGCTCAGTGTGCATCGCTGGACCTCAACCTGGGACCATCCTAGCTTAATATAAACCGCTGGACCTCAACCTGGGACCTGCCCAGCTTAGTGTACACCGCTGGACCTCAACCTGGGACACCGCTGGACCTCAACCTGGGACCTGCCCAGCTCAGTGTGCACCGCTGGACCTCAACGGCCAGATAGAATGCCAGAAGATATGCCAGATAAAATGTCAGATGGAATACCAGAAAACATGCCAGATAAAATGCCATGAGATATGCCAGATAGATATGCCA